AAATGACATCACCGAAGTCAAGGATCGGTAGGATAGTCAGTTTTACGAGGGCATGTTTGGCAGCATGAGTGAAGGAGGCTTTGTTTGCGAAATAGGAAGCCGATTCTAGATTTAACTTTGGATTGGAGATGCTTATAATATATAATATAATATGCCATTTAGCAGACGCTTTTATCCAAAGCGACTTACAGTCATGCGTGCATACATTTATTTTTTATTTTATTTTTTTGTGTATGGGTGGTCCCGGGGATCGAACCCACTACCTTAGCGTTACAAGCGCCGTGCTCTACCAGCTGAGCTACAGAGGACCACTGCTTAATGTGAGTCTGGAAGGAGAGTTTACAGTCTAACCAGACACCTAGGTATTTGTAGTTGTCCACATTCTCTAGGTCAGACCAGTCGAGAGTAGTGATTCTAGTCGGGTGGGCGGGTTCCAGCAGCGTTCGATTGAAGAGCATGCATTTAGTTTTACTAGTGTTTAAGAGCAGTTGGAGGCTACTGAAGGAGTGTTGTATGGCATTGAAGCTCGTTTGGAGGTTTGTTAACACAGTTTGTTAACACAGTGTCCAATGCAGAGACAATAATGCAAAATACTGGTAATGTTGCATTGGCACTTGGCACACTAGTAGGTAACCATTGTCACAAGCTGCCATAGTCTTTTGGGGTGGATCACTGCCCACCATAGGAGTTACTCTGCTAAAGCCATCACACCATCACCCCACAGACCCCAGTAAGTTTCTAAACAGGGAGGAATCCTGCTAGCTAATTAAAGCCTCATTAAAGCTATATGGGCTTGTTTACATAACCCTGAACCAGCCAGACAGAAAGACAGAAACCTCCCAAGTTCACAATGGGACCATTCATAAACCCAACATCTCCTCTCTGGGATAGGATAGGAGGTGGAAAAGGAGGAAAAACGGTTGCTCTTAGCATTTGGGCAGATGTAATTGCGATCACTCAGCTCGTCTGATGCTGATAATGGGGCGATGGGAAATTCCTGTCAGGGAGTCTCAGTCGAAGACGTGGTTTTGCAACCACTTTGGCAGGCAGGCTCCTTCGTGTGTGTGTGTGTGTGTGTGCGTGCGCGTGTGTGTGTGTCTGTGTGTGTGTGCGTGTGTGTGTTTGTGTGTGTGTGTTAGATGCCAGGACAGAGAATGAGTTGCAGCATGCTCACAAAGCTGTCATTAACCTCTACGGGATCTGTGTCCCGTATACGGGATGGTTGAGCTAACATGCGCTAATGTGATTAGCATGACTGTTGTAAGTAACAGCAAACTTTCCAGGACATAGACATGTCTTAAAGCTTAAATTCTTGTTAATCTAACTGCACCATGCTATTGTTTGAGGAGAGTGCACAACAACAAAAAACTAATCACGGCAACTGGTTTGATACATTCACCTCTGAAGGTAAATAATGTACTTACATTCAGTAATATTGCTCTGATTTGTCATCCTAAGGTTCCCAGAGATAAAATGTAGCGTAGTCTTGTTTGATAAAATCAATTTTTATATTCAAATGTAGGAACTGGGTTCTACATTTTGAATCCCTGCAGTCTCTGGCTCCACACACACCCCGCCCGGCCATCTAGATGTGTGAAAGTTAGTGTATAAGCTAATGATCCATCGTGTATGACATTCCTGGGAGTGTGTAATATTACATTTTGTATTACCATATCATTTTTGTATTTTCTCAATAGTTATGTACTTGAAAATGTATCAATTGACCAATTCAGCACATTTGGGCAGACTTGATACAAAATAGTCCAGTATTGCAATGCTTCACTGGAACAATCTGAAACTTTGCACACACACTGCTGTCATCTAATGGCCAAATCTAAATTGCGCCTAAACTGCAATATTATATTGTGGCCTTTCTCTTGCATTTAAAAATCCTTTTTTGAAAACGCATGTTTTTTTTGTTTGTATTATCTTTTACCAGATCTAATGTGTTATATTCTTCTACATTCATTTCACATTTACACAAACTTCAAAGTGTTTCCTTTCAAATGGTATCAAGAATATGCATATCCTTGCTTCAGGTCCTGAGCTATAGGCAGTTAGATTTGGGTATGTCATTTTAGGCAAAAATTGAAAAAAAGGGTCTGATCCTTAAGAGGTTAAACATATTTAGGAAAACATAAGACAATCAAAACTCTCAAGTATGTGCCTGGCATGGCACTCAATTCTCAAGCAATAAGATAGGAGGAAATGCAGTGTTGAAATAGTGTGCCTTTCTCTCGCCCCATTTCTTGTAACTATATGGTATGGTAGTTAAGAGATGTATGAGTTTTGGGAATTGTCCCTCCCTCTCATGACATCATTTTAAATACGGTAACTCATTTGTATACCGATCCAGTCTTCATTCCTGCCCCAAACACACTAAAAGTCATGTCTGATTCACCTGTATAAGAAATGACAGGTTAGTTGTTAGTCTAACACAATAAACACATGCAATATAAATACTAGTAGAAGGGTCTGGTGCAGTCCAAATCCAGGCTTTAGATGCAGCCGAAATTGAATTAAAAGGGCTTTCCCTTGGATCAGCAGATTACTGTTGTAGTTTGACTGGTGTAGGTAAAGTATTTGTGTTTGGTGTGTGTGGGTACAGTGTGTGGCACTTTGGGCTCAACAATGCTTCCATGAGCAGAGCTCTCTTATTAAGGCATTCATGACTTGATGCTAACAAGCTCATACAAGTGGCTGGACCGACATTTGTGCAATGGAGCCTAAAAGCTGCTTATTAGGGCCTTGTGATACACAGACCACCCAAGATATATATATCCCAAAAAATATATAGAACCGCATTATAACTCCATTATATGACTGGTCGAGGCCCAACAACTGGGCGGTAAAATTGCTCGCAATCCTCTCTGTAAAAAGCATTGATTGATGATACTTGTAGTCTTCTCCAATATACACTGAGTGTACAAAACATTAGGAACACCTGTCTTTCCATGACATAGACTGACCAGGTGAATCCAGGTGAAAGCTATGATCCCTTATTGATGTCACTTGTCAAATCCACTTCAATCTGTGTAGATGAAGGGGATTTGACAGGTTAAAGAAGGATTTGTAAGTCTTGAGACAATTGAGACATGGAATGTGTATGTGTGCCATTCAGAGGGTGATTGTGCAAGACAAAATATTTAAGTGCCTTTGAACAGGGTATGGTAGTAGGTGCCAGGTGCACCGGTTTGAGTTTGTCAAGAACTGCAATGCTGCTGGGTTTTTCACTCTCAACAGTTTCCTGTGTGAATCAAGAATGGTCCACCACCCAAAGGACATCCAGCCAACTTGACACAACTGTGGAAAGCATTAGAGTCAACATGGGCCAGCATCCCTGTGGAATGTTTTAGACACATTGTAGAGTCCATCCCCCCGACGAATTGAGGCTGTTCTGAGGGCAAAAGGGGATGCAACTCAATATTAGGAAGATGTTCTGTACACTCAGTGTAGATGTCAAGCTTTTTGCAGCACTCACATGTATTTAGTAAACACAGAAATAACATAATATTTTACCATAGTTTAATTTTGATCTCATTACAATATATCATACTGTATTAGTTGTTAAAAAGCAAATTAGTATAAAACATAATGGTACTCCAATCTGTGGTAGTCTTGAAACGTTATATATACTGTAAATTGATCCCTAGGGTGAGAAAATATATGAATATCCATTTATGGTTACATTTGAACATAAACTCAATGTGCATCCAAATTAAATTCTTAACAATGTGTATTAATTAAATATTATAATAATTTACAGAAAACGTCATCAACTAAATGGCAAAACATTTTATAGATATACACAACACAAAAATCTATATGTGAGTATTTTCTAATTGAATAGATAACATGATAAGTCTCTTTTGCTGAAACAACTGGCATTTTATAAAACAATAGGCAACATCTTTTCTGCTTGACCATGGCAGTTATATAATTTGGCATTAGCGGAACTTGGAAACACTGTATATTAAATACATCAGTATAAAACAGAATGGCCAACACACTTGCATTTCATTTAAATGCTCTAACCACATTGCTTAGTTTGGGTTTGAATCCTACAAAATAGTTCCATACAGAAGCGAATCTCTATTAACACAGAAGTAAAATCTTGGGTAAATTTGGTCAGCTGCGTGATTAACTTCTGTGTTCATACGTGTTAAAAATTGAGAGTTCCGGCAAAAAAGTCTCCACCCTCACAAAAGGAAACTCTTAGCCAAAGCATGAAGCACTCGAGGCGAAGCAGTTGAAGCACCGCCTTCGCCCAATCCTGATAAGTCAAAATAACCAGTGACAAAAAACCCCAAAACCGGAACTAATGCTGCTCTCACACATCCCATTCAGTTCTGGCAGATTCTCTCGGTCTACACGCAGATTCTGCCAACGGGAGATTATACAGAGGCCAATGTTTCCTCTATTTTGTTCAGTGGGCTGTAGCCTCCACATGAGACACACACAGTCCCCCTAGATATAGCATACAGTACAGGTCACTTTGTTGAGAATAGGGTTTCCTGGTTTACAAAAAATCCTGGTTGGATTTTCTTTAATTTTCTGGAATTTTTCAACCCTAGCTGAAACGTTTGACACCTATACAATGCATACTGAGCATCTTTGCATCATCCAGTGTATATACACACTTACAGGTCCATGTACTGTACTTACTTACTGCCATACAAATGAATAAATTGACATCAGATGATAAAAACCTTTCAAATAAAATATTTTCATTGAGTGATTTGAAGTCTTGTCTATTAAGATTGTCTGTTGGACTGTACTTAATGTTTTTCTTGGCCCATGGGAGTGCTTGCTTTCATGGTGTCTGTGGAGAGACACAGTCCTAAAGCTTTCAAAACTGTCCTTTCTCCTCCATGGATGGTGATAGGCCGATAGCGTCTGTTAGTAGTCCAATTAGACACAGATGCCTTGCGTAGCCAGGGCCCTGGTGTCCAATGGGAAGAGGTAAGGTGTACTCCCAGCCCCAAGGGAAGGACATGAGGCTATACACCCAGCAACATGCCCATGAAGTCAGAGCCATTCTGTATTATGATGGATGCCCCAGCTCCATTGTCCACAAATATTGAGGTGTACTGTCCAACCTGAGGAGATACAATAACATTTTAAATACAAGAATATGATGACTTTGTTTTGTTATAGTGATATTACAACCCATTATACAATAGTAATTCTACTTCTCAACCCTTCTTAAAGGCTTTTTTGGCAATAGCTTACTCTATATTCAGCTTAACCCTATTGGAGAATCTTCACGGTGAGAGAGGTTTGATAAATACAAGCCTACCTGTAGCTTCAGCAAGCCTTGCACATACACTGTGAAGATCTTGCTGTTACTTTCCAATCCAACAATCATCTCTAATGACCTGCAATGAAGAAGAAAACAAACAATGAATGTTAATGAATCATAATCTTTTTTCCTGATCTTCACTTGTTCAAAATAACTTTATTTCATCTATACACACCTAACACGTTCTGAAACAAAATCATCTAATTGCATGATACTTCATGAAAAATGTGTTTTTTTTACACATTAAATAAACATGTCATTGCTTCATTTTGAGTCTTGAATCATCATAATCATTATAGTGAGTCTTTAATGAAGTCTGCAGTGCAGAGAGTAATATGTAATATAGCAGGCGTGGAGTCTAGTCGTATAACTCTTGCTGAGACCACTGGCTCCTGTTTAGTGGAAAACGCAACATTTTTATGGTGAATCAATCATGTTTGTCTTCACTTTAACTACCATTGCAATGAGCCTCATTTCACATTCTCTGCATTTTCATGTGTGGGAGAGCGAGACAGGCTGGAGGCTTTGGGGTGGAAAGGCAAAAAAAATGAGGCCACTTTTTCAGATAACAATATTATTTATACATTTCTTTCATATTACCAGGTTGCGAAGCAAGGTTGTTGGCCTGTACATATGGAGGAAATCTAGGTTACCGTTCGTTTCAACATTTCAGATTTTGCTTACTTTATATAAACAGAAATGGCCAAAATATGTGAACAACAATACTCATATCACCGAAAATGGGTGTGTAATACTCTGGTATTTACAAATGAGTGTGTAAAATTCATCCTTCACACATCCCAAAAAGGGAATTTCTCTATTCAGTGTCGTATTCAATAGGCAACAAATTGACAAATAGGCACCACTCCTGGCCTGTGGTGTTGGAAGCAGCAGCAGGGTTTCTCAGGTGTCAAAGGGAGTCTAGAACGATTTGGAGGCGAAAGGGACCATGGGAAGGAGTGAGAGGACATTTCGTTTAAAGACATCCTTCACATTTACACAGGAAATACCTAACTTGTTCCACACAACATATAACAGACAACTTGTTTAACAGCTCATAAAACTGGCATTAAACTCTGATTATCACGCATGGATTCAATGACTGCTGTCACTATAGAGCCTCAACAACACAACAAAAAAGGCTGCCCTGGCAGACAATAGAATGGATTAGCTAACTCTTTTGGGGATAAAGCAAAAATAGTTTTGATATTGTTTTGTTTGTCAGGGTATTTTTTTTTACTACACTCCAAGTATGTTGCAAAAGCCAGAACAAATCAAAACCATATGGTCATATGGTGAAAAATTGTGGAGTGGTATTTCATAGGGTGACTAGATATTGAAGGCCTTTTCAAACTTCATCAAACTGATTTGTTGATGAATGGTAGATGATCAATAGACTGAGACAGTAACACTTCACTGCAGGTGTCCTTATGAATGCATTCATAAAGCTCAATGGGTGACATGTCTGGTGAGTATGCAGGCCATGGAAAAACTGGGACATTTTCAGCTTCCAGGAATTGTGTGCAGATCCTTGTGACATGGGGTCGTGCGTTTTCATGCTGAAACATGAGGTGACGGTGGCGGATGAATGGCACGACAATAGGCCTCGGGATCTCATCACGGTATCTCTGTGCATTCAAATTGCCATTGATAAAATGCAATTGTGTTCGTTGTCCGTAGCTTATGCCTGCCAATACCATAACCCCACCGCCACCATGGGGCACTCTGTTTACAATGTTGACATCAGGAAACCGCTCGCCCACACAACGCCATACATGTGGTCTGCGGTTGTGAGGCCGGTTGGACGTCCTGCCAAAATCTCTAAATGACGTTGGAGGGGGCTTATGGTACAGAAATTAACATGACATTCTCTGGCAACAGCTCTGGTGGACATTCCTGTAGTCAGCATGCCAATTGCACGCTCCCTCGAAATTTGAGACATATGTGGCATTGTGTTGTTTGACAAAACTGCACATTTTAGAGTGGCCTTTTATTGTCCCCAGTACAAGGTGCACCTGTGTAATGATCATGCTTTTGAATCAGCTTCTTGATATGCCATACCAGGTACAGTGAGGGAAAAAAGTATTTAGTCAGCCACCAATTGTGCAAGTTCTCCCACTTAAAAAGATGAGAGAGGCCTGTAATTTTCATCATAGGTACACGTCAACTATGACAGACAAATTGAGGGAAAAAATTCCAGAAAATCACATTGTAGGATTTTTAATGAATTTATTTGCAAATTATGGTGGAAAATAAGTATTTGGTCACCTACAAACAAGCAAGATTTCTGGCTCTCACAGACCTGTAACTTCTTCTTTAAGAGGCTCCTCTGTCCTCCACTCGTTACCTGTATTAATGGCACCTGTCCACAACCTCAAACAGTCACACTCCAAACTCCACTATGGCCAAGACCACAGAGCTGTCAAAGGACACCAGAAACAAAATTGTAGACCTGCACCAGGCTGGGAAGACTGAATCTGCAATAGGTAAGCAGCTTGGTTTGAAGAAATCAACTGTGGGAGCAATTATTAGGAAATGGAAGACATACAAGACCACTGATAATCTCCCTCGATCTGGGGCTCCACGCAAGATCTCACCCCATGGGGTCAAAATGATCACAAGAACGGTGAGCAAAAAGCCCAGAACCACACGGGGGGACCTAGTGAATGACCTGCAGAGAGCTGGGACCAAAGTAACAAAGCCTACCATCAGTAACACACTACGCCGCCAGAGACTCAAATCCTGCAGTGCCAGACGTGTCCCCCTGCTTAAGCCAGTACATGTCCAGGCCCATCTGAAGTTTGCTAGAGTGCATTTGGTTGATCCAGAAGAGGATTGGGAGAATGTCATTTGGTCAGATGAAACCAAAATATAACTTTTTGGTAAAAACTCAACTCGTCGTGTTTGGAGGACAAAGAATGCTGAGTTGCATTCAAAGAACACCATACCTACTGTGAAGCATGGGGGTGGAAACATCATGCTTTGGGGCTGTTTTTCTGCAAAGGGACCAGGACGACTGATCCGTGTAAAGGAAAGAATGAATGGGGCCATGTATCGTGAGATTTTTAGTGAAAACCTCCTTCCATCAGCAAGGGCATTGAAGATGAAACGTGGCTGGGTCTTTCAGCATGACAATGATCCCAAACACACCGCCCGGGCAACGAAGGAGTGGCTTCGTAAGAAGCATTTCAAGGTCCTGGAGTGGCCTAGCCAGTCTCCAGATCTCAACCCCATAGAAAATCTTTGGAGGGAGTTGAAAGTCTGTGTTGCCCAGCGACAGCCCCAAAACATCACTGCTCTAGAGGAGATCTGCATGGAGGAATGGGCCAAAATACCAGCAACAGTGTGTGAAAACCTTGTGAAGACTTCCAGAAAACGTTTGACCTGTGTCATTGCCAACAAAGGGTATATAACAAAGTATTGAGAAACTTTTGTTATTGACCAAATACTTATTTTCCACCATAATTTGCAAATAAATTCATTAAAAATCCTACAATGTGATTTTCTGGAGAAAAAAAATCTCATTTTGTCTGTCATAGTTGACGTGTACCTATGATGAAAATTACAGGACTCTCTCATCTTTTTAAGTGGGAGAACTTGCACAATTGGTGGCTGACTAAATACTTTTTTTCCCCACTGTATATGGATAATCTTGGCAAATGAGAAATCCTCACTAACAGGGATGTAAACAACTTTTACACAAAATTTGTGAGGAATAAGCTTTTTGTGCGAAAGGAACATTTCTGGGATCTTTAATTTCAGCTCATGAAACATGGGACCAACACTATAAATTACGTTTATATTTTTGTTCAGTATACATTATAATAAAAACAACTTGTCAAAAAACACAAACATTTTGAAGCAAATAGAATTATACAACAAAATCAAGGTTGCTGGGGCACAACAGGATTTGCGACAGCTGTGAAAAAAGGAAGATGTGCAGGCTACAGTAACAATGATAGCTACAGTGCCTTCAGAAAGTATTCACACCGCTTGACTTTTTCCACATTTTGTTGTGTTACAGCCTGAATTTTAAATGGATTAAATTGAGCTTTTGTGTCACTAGCCTACACACAATACCCCATAATGTCAAATTGGAATTATGTTTTTACAAATGTTTACAAATGAAAGCTGAAATGTCTTGAGTCATTAAGTATTCAACTTAATTATGTTATGGCAAGCCTAAATAAGTTCATGAGTGAAAATGTGCTTAACAAGTCACATAATAAGTTGCATGTACTGCAATAATAATATTTAACATGATTGTTGTGTGACTACCTCATTTCTGTAAACCACACATACAATTATCTGTAAGGTCCTTCATTTGAGCAGTGAATTTCAAACACAGATTCAACCACAAAGACCAACGATGTTTTCCAATGCCTCGCAAAGAAGGGCACCTATTGGTAGATGGGTAAAAAAAAAAAAAGCTGTCATTGAATATCCCTTTGAGTATGGTGAAGTTACTAATTACACTTTGGATGGTGTATCAATACACCCAGTCACTACAAACATGTTTCTTTCCTAACTCAGTTGCCGGAGATGAAGGAATCCGCACATGGATTTCACCATGAGGCCAATGGTGACTTTAAAACAGTTACAGAGTTTAATGGCTGTTATAGGAGAAAACTGAGGATGGATCAACAACATTGTAGTTACTCCAGAATACTAACCTAAATTACAGAGTGAAAGGAAGGAAGCCTGTACAGAATAAAAAATATTCCAAAACATGCATCCTGTTTGCAATAAGGCACTAAAGTAAAACTGCAAAACATTTGGCAAATAAATTAACTGTATGTCCTGAATACAAAGCGTTATGTTTTGGGCAAATCCAACACAACACATCACTGAGTACCACTTTTCATATTTTCAAGCATGGTGGTGGCTGCATCATGTTATGGGTATGCTTGTCAAAGGGAAAGGACTAGGGAGTTTTTTAGGATAAAAAGAAACGTAATAGAGCTAAGCATAGGCAAAATCCTAGAGGAAAACCTGGTTCAGTCTGCTTTCCAACAGACACTGGGAGACAAATTCACCTTTCAGCAGGACAATAACCTAAAACACAAGGCCAAATATACACTGAAGTTGCTTACCAAGACAACATTGAATGTTCTTGATTATTTAGTTTGGTACAACATTTTGGAAGATTTTTTCCCACGCTGAAAGGCAAGGTCCAATAGCCACGGTTCGCGACTGATGGATGGCTTTAGCTATCTAGCTAACGTTAGCTATCTGCTAGCGCTAGCTAGCTAACTTCACTAGCTACAGGTGTAATTAAAAAAATTACTCTTTAGCACATTACACATTTACATCCTATGTTACTTGCACAATTACCTTTTCATCTTAATAAATGTTATTTAACTCAACCTACCTGTGTCATTATTATTCACATTATTTGCTGTCACAAATCCTGTTGTGCCCCAGCAACCTTGATTTTGTTGTAAAATTCTATTTGATTCCATTTCGTTTTAACATTTTTATGTTTTTTTGGCAAGTTAATGGTATTATAATGTGTCCTTTTTTATATCTGGACATGGTCCAATTTGTACAACTAAGAGCAGTTTATTGTCTCGTTGTCAAAATAAAGAAAATCCTAAGTACATCTGTGCTCCCATTTGCCAATGTTTGTTGGAGATCCTTTGAATGGTAAAGTTTTATGATAGTTTCAACTCATTCTGTAATCTAAGCACATTCATAACTGTTTTATAACACTTCAAATTAATGTCACTTTACTTAAGGTGTCTTTGAACATTATATTAAGGGCATATGACATGGCCCCGTGTAGCTCAGTTGGTAGAGCATGGCGCTTGCAACGCCAGGGTTGTGGGTAAGATTCCCACGGGGGGCCAATATGAAAAAAATAAAAAAATAAAAAATGTATGCACTCACTAACTGTAAGTCGCTCTGGATAAAAGCGTCTGCTAAATGACTAAAATGTAAAAAAAATTGTGACCAATCATTCGATGAAATGTAATAATGTGACACAGAGGTTGGTAAATGACATAACACCCTGTTTATAACGCATGGTATGTAGACTCTTATTTAGCATGTAATAACATATGGCATAAGTTGTCATGCAGACTGTGTAATAGCAGTTGTTATTAACAGTTGACATTAGAGCATATGACAACAGGATGAACAGTTATCTGTAACACCCATTAAAACTAGTTTAATTACATCTTATGCCGTTACTCATAACTATTTAAAACGACTTATGACAGCTTATGACAAATGTTACATTGTGTATTATAGCTGTTATAAAGGCTTTATGAATGCATTACCGACTGAGACTGATGGTACTCACGTATATCGATGGCACAGGGATTCGATGCAGATCAGCACTCGCACATTGTCCCTGGCTCTCAGCTGACTCTTACTCCTTTTCACCTCGTTGTGGTCTTCAGGGAGAAAACAGAGTTACTCTGAGGTCATAAATTATCCATCTCAGAAACACCTCTCTGAATAAAAGGTCACAGAGTCCTCTGAAAAGATACAATATTTTAGAAAAATGTCTGTATAAATGGGCCCTCATTCATTGTCTCGATATTTAATTCCAACTTCCAAATCAATATATTTCCCAAGATGATTCCCAGTTAATTAGATTTCCTTATAGTAGAGAAGCATTCCCTACCGATATGAACATTAGCAGAGAACTGGTAGATCCCTGTGACGGGAGCCGTGAATCGTCCTGTGGATTGGTCCATCCCTGTCCCTCTGAGAAAGGCACCTTTGGCAAGAGGCTGGAAGGAGAAATACAATGTGACTTGCAGAATGGAGTTATACAATGACTGACGAATAGAAGTTTTACATCTCAAATTTGGGCTCAATTGATATCAGTACGTTTGCCAAAGTGAACACCCAAGCAATCAATCCGAACTTTTCCAACTGACATTTTTTAAACTTGGTATATGTCTACTCTTAAAGGGCCAATCAGCAGTTGAAACAATAACAAAGTCTTTCCCTGCCACTGTTTTGGTAAAATGCTGAGGGATGGGGCTGGAGAAATGTAATCACTCTCAAATTCATAGACAAAGCTATGGATGCAAGGACTGACCATCCATGATATCAAATTTATAGTTTTAACCATCTTTTGAGGTTATACAGTGTTTGTTTACATTTACTTTGTTAACAAACATTGGAGTAAAACAAGCTTATATTTTGGGTTCTGATGGGGTACGACAGTTAAACTAAGCTCATGACGAATTGTATAAGTTATATTCTTCAAGAATCAATGGGTACATATAATTCATTTATACGTCCAAAAATTGATGTAACAACTGCTGATTGCCCCTTTAACCTCCCGCCTCAGAATGTCCTTGTACATAGTTCTTCCACTACAGCATGCTAATTTAAACAGTGTCTAAATTTGTCCTCTCCACACCATATTCCAAGTCACAGACAGAGTGCCTTTTGTATGCCGACCCAGAAAGTGATGTGGAGCATTGCATTTTTTGACTAAGGACTAAGGAGCCAGTCTAAGCTCCAGCCTCGTACAGCTTTGTCAGACTCTAGGGATGGGTGTTCCCTAAGGATTCCTGGCTTCATAATTATACATCACGCAGAATCATTGCTGGTTAAATCTTCAAACCCAATATTCAAACACAGCTAAAAGAAAGAAAACAGAAAGAAACCTGATTGTGAATATTAATATGGGCTTGATATTGTGTACTGAATGGTTAAGAGTAAGACAAGAGGATAAAGAAGATGGTCAAGGGGGTGACCAAATACTTCCCAAACTTCTAGATTCTTTACAAACTTCTCAATTGTTCCTCCAAAACATACCGTCTGAAAGTTCTGTAACTCCATCAGTGTCTTCTTGTCGATAACCACAGGTCCTTTGAGTTTACAGTGGAAGGCTTCCTCTATCCTCCTGTAAGAGGGAATTCCTTCCAGGGCGATGAGGACCGTGGGTATCTGACTAGGACTGGTACTGGTCTGCCTGTCTACTGCAGCAGCTCTCCTCTCTGTAGCTTCTGATTAAAACACAGAAGGAATATGAGATAATCTCAACTAGAAAGATGACAAGAATATGGACTTGACTTTAAACTATAGGAAAAACGTTCTCTGGCACTACAGTACATTGATAGAGTAGTGAGCTTGCTGACCCGATATCTACCGTGGATGGTCAGGTACTAATGAACTACTTCAGCCTTCACTGAGACAATGATCCATCAGTAGTAACAATCAAACACCAATGTCTTGAAATCAATGAGTCCTCTTATACACAGCGAAGGACCAGATCAGACTTTATCAAATTGTGTCTTTATATGACATTTTAGGACTTTATATGATATCACCTTTTATCATCTCCTTGAACTCCTGGAGGAGGACTTCCTGGGTGACCTCTGCCCCGGGGGATCCAGGAGGTCCCTGGGGGCCTGGGGGGCCAGGAGGACCTGGTGGCCCGGGCTGACAGAGACCACGAAATTATAACACATTACATAATAATATAGGATCATATGAATAAGAAGATAATCTACTGTACACCAGTGGAGGCTGCTGAGGGGAGGAAGGCTCATAATAATGGCTGGAATGGAGTCAATGGAGTGGTATCAACCACATCAAACATGTGGTTTCCATGTGGTTGATACCACTCCATTGACTCCATTCCAGCCATTATTATGAGCCATCCTCCCCTCAGCAGCCAACACTGCTGTACACACGATTTGAAACCGAAACTTGTTTCAGTATTTGAACGACCAATATTCTACTTATGTATCTTACTAGATGCTTCGTGACCAATGTAATGAACGGACCAGTGCTTGATCAGCTAGCTTATTTGAACCACTCCTGAAGCCATTGTTATATTTACCAGTGGCCTTTTGCGTTTGCGACACTTCCCAGGGAAGTTGCCTACGGGTCGTTTCACAAAGTCCATCCATGATCCCAGGGGATCCACTCTCTGGTTGTCAGGATTCTACAGGATACATGAGACAGAGAAACCCATAAGACATTTTTCATTCAAATAGACGGCATAGCTAGATCTACACAGAAGATGGTATGGGACATGTTTGAACTCTCAATATTAAACCACTTTAGAGGTCTGATTTTGCAACAAAGACAGGCCTACTATGAATCAATGATACATCAAGGAGAGCCAGGTGTACTTACATAAACCTGGCTGATTGATGGTGAGCATTGAACAAGTGCCCAGTAAAATAAAGTGGGATAAAGGGTGCTGCCAGAATGTACTTACAATCAAGCTAGTCCCAAACTGTTGCACTGTGTTCATATTCCTCAATCACAATGGCTCTTTAAGGAGAACAGTGCTAATTGCAAGATTCATCAGATATTTCAGTCTGGAATCATTTCGTCCACTGGCACACAATGCAAAGTATTGTAACTATGTAACTGAATCCAATGAGTCATAATTTCTGCTTACCAACCATTGGAAAATCTTGCCTTAAGATACTATTAAATGGTGCCAGACATCAAGGCAGGTCACATTATTAAGTGAACTCTTTTTCTTTCTTTCTCTCTCTCTCCCTGTCTCTCCTTGCCGATCTACTGCCATTCCAGAGAGAGGGAATAAGGCTTTTTGTGTTGTATCTTTCACTTTGCCAATTATGTTCAGTCACTTTTTCTCTCCAAGACTTTCCTTTTTTGCTTGTTCTTTCTCTCCAGATAATTCACTCAGGTGCCACGTCAATTCTTATTTGCCTAATAGGGTCACATGAAAATAAAGAAGACTTCTGAAGTGATTTTTTCAACACAAACATTTCCATGAGCATACTGTGCATTCAGGAAAATTACTCTATCCATGAGGTATTTCAGTGACCAATTAGCCTATGACAAGATTTCTAAATATCCAACAACACTTTCACCTATACCTAGCTACAAACATACCAGCAATTCAACGTTTTTTTGGCATGCAATTGAAAATGTACATACAGTAAGCTATAACAGGAAGGAAATTACCGAAATGACCTTGATGAACACAATAATAGATATGGTGACATACCATAAAAGTCAACAGAGGCTGTTGAAGATGTTAAAGTGCATGAACATTCATGATTTCTAAGTGAAAACGCCCTTATGCTAGTGGTGATGACTGTAGACCTTTGATTGACATGCAGGGATTATGGATGTGTGGTGATGTTATCCTTTTGTTGAAGAAAAACACCCTCACATATCTCATTTATCAAAATGACAGGCCTCTGCCACCAAATAATTCTAACCATAACCCACCCTGGCTGACGTTATTTCATTTGGGTGAAAAGTATGAATTCCAATAACCACAAAATGCCTTGAATCCTCCCCAAAGCAAAGACCTTCTTCTTCCTCCCAAACGTCAAGTGACTGTGGTGGAGATAGAAGAGGAGATTAGGACGTGCCAGGGAGGTGAGCTGTCTGAAATTGTATTTATTTAGGTTTGGCAGGAGGACACAGATCCCTTATCTGCAAAACTAACATGCCCCCTGTTCTTGACAGAAAGAGAGACTCGCCTCTTGTTCTGTTCAACAGCAACAAACTAACCGCTTGTTTGTCTTGTCTACAATATACTGGGATAAAAGAAGGTTTCATATTTTGGGTTTGTTTTTTCTCTCCGTCTTCTCTCTTTTCTTGTGACAGCAGACAAAATAAACAAGTTAAGTAACACAGCGCCTCCTGCATGTTGGATGTCTGTGGGTTTTTGTTGTGTTTTTGAAGCCTGGAGACAGATAAAAGGCAGACAGATTTTGTCAAGCCAAAAATACTGTTATTGCATAACCCACCACATCTTTTCCATATCATTGCAACACTGCCCGGGCCATTTAATTGGTTATACTCAACTTTTTCTTTCTACAGTTCATGCTGCATAGGAATAATCTCTAAGTATACTTCTCACTTTCATACCAACCTTAAAAGCTCATAGGAAAAATAATTTGAGTTTGAGATGGTGAAAAAATCTGAAAGAGCTGCCTACAACTCTATTCCTAAACTACACTTTTGATTTAAACACTGACAATAATCACTGAGGACCCTCTCTGACAACTCTGTTTGATTGAAGTGATGCACACTGAACATTGACAGCAGGTGAAACACATAACAAGGACCTTAACCCTACGCTTGACGGTTCATCCTGCAGTTCTCAAAAGAACTGCACCTCTCCTCTCACATTGATGTCATACATAGATCATCATACTGTATGTCAGATGTTTTTAGACCAACTCAAGTCAGCCCACACATGCAACTTATAATTATATATGCTACTGTAGCTATTCCCTGCATAATAATAAAAAAAAGTCAGCATAGCACTGCCAGTACAGGAGGCCTCTCTTTCTGCTTGTTATCATCTTATATTGTTAACACACGCCATTGTAATTAAACACGTAAAACCGTGCCCTAAAGGATTTTTGATATTTTAGGAAGTTGGCCTGTAACCAATATAATTATAACTGTTATTCGAACTGCAAGATGGAGCAAATCACTTTTTGACACTTTAAAACAGTGTGTAACACATCATGATAATTGCTATTTGGTGTCAGGAGTGCAACAATAAAACATTAAGTCATGAGGATTTTAAAATCTATTCAAGTCTTTTATCCTTCTAGTATAGACACACATTTCTCACTTTCATTGACCGTGCTGTACATTGCTCAGCTGGACATAATATTTTCGCTACCATGACATCCAATAGTGATAGGTGGTGATGCTTCCCACATCTTGCAAGAAATTATGATTCAATGCACCTCAGACACAGAGAAATTAAAATCATATTGCATGACGAAATTGAAAAACTGTATGTTTAATCTAGTTCCTATTGAGTGTGGTGCAAAATACACTATGTTCTGACTCACATACCTTTATATCAGCACGTACAGCACATGAACAAAGTGAACAGAGGATTGATACAGGTATCAATCTGAACTTCCCTTTGATCCCGGCTGTTGTATGAGTGCCATCCAATGGCCGTGTCTTTCAACAGCTGTGAGAGCACACCACTCCAGTGGTGATTTGGAAAATGTGTCAGACATTCTTAAGGTGTCAAACTAAAGGTATTCCTCAGAACATCAAACACTGTTTGTTTGGCTCATCGGTGGGGGCTCTATTCATGTTGCTACAGACCCCGATCCTTATACTGCAATGAACTTTGCTTACAAATATGTGACCACAATATACGATGAACATCACAGTTTGTATGCATGATGTACAATATCATGACACTTTTGCAACACTATGTTGTTGAACATTGCATGTAAGGTTGCAAATATGTAATAGCCTACCTACTGTATGTTATTTACCAGCTGAATTAGTGCTTCATTATAGCCATGATCATTCAGGAAACAGTTGCCCGAGTGGTGATGAATAATCCCTTTGCATGCATCTCTTTACGTATGTTTGTGATGTAGTTCGGTGAAATTAGGTAGAATATAATTTTATTTGAAGCAATAAAGGAAGGGAAATATGTCCCAGGGGCAGCATGCCATCAAAAACACATTGTGCGTTCCAAATGACCAGAGCTGGTCAAAAGTAGTACACTATGTAGGGAATAGGGTGTATTTTGGAATTCAGCCACATACACAACTGTTAAAACTTGTCTCTTTGGCTGCAATAGATCCTCAACCAGAACAGCACTCCACATAGCAGGCCGTTTCTGAATCCTTTTGAAAAAGAAACATTGCCACCTCCTCTGTAGACATACCAGTATAGCAAACAATATATTGTAATGTTAACTGACTGGTCTGTTGTGACAAAGCTCTTAAAATAAATGGAGAAAAAACCCAGAATGGAATGGACTCTACCTACATGTGTTTTTATCCTACTGTTTTTACCAAACAAATGTAAATGTGAGAGCAGGGTGCACCAGCCACACCAAAAAATAAGCTTGTAAGATTATGTCTAATGTTTCTTGCATGTTTTGTGAACAGGTGCATATTTCGTTTGACGTGGGATAGGATGATGGAGAGGCGTCCCTAATCCCTTGTTTTTATGTCGGTGTAGTCCTTTTGCAGTCATCCATGCATGCGTGGAGGAGGCTAACTGAGGTAGGACCTATCACATCCTGGGAGGCAGGGATCCCCAGGCTACCAGTAGGGCTGGGCTAGGGGGAACCTGCATGCTTCCTCACGTCACGCATCTAACCCATCCACCACAGTTCTCCCCCGATGCACCTCATAGACAGAGGATTTACCACCACAACGCTAAATATGGTTAGACATGCAACCGGCGCAACTGGTGCACCCTGCATGAACGCTGCACTTTAACTTTGTAGATATGTCACATAAAAGTTGTTGAGTATATGAGAAAAGCGTAGGCCTATGCATATTAATCCACATTAAATATACACACCATTTTCATCTCTAGAGTGCTATCAAATTATCAAATGATATGACTGTAAAGGATCAAGCCAGTTTCAAGTCACAGTTTTTGTGGGTATGCTGCACGTACACATATTCCTATGGTGTAGCCTTCATATCATATTTTCCTTCTTTCCACAAAACAACTGCTGCAGTGTCAACATGCCATAGATATTTATGCAAACATTGAATGTGCATTCCTTTCCAGTGAAGACATGTAAGAGCTACTAAAGCAATCAAATGTATTTATGAAATCTCCTAGGGAATAATAACTGTGCTTTAGTCACGAAAGCTGAAGAGAGTCTGATTGCTGTCACACCTGCTTTGTGTTCAAATTATAGTCTTCAAATTGCTCAAATGGTGGCTCTTTTCCCTCTGTATCTGTGGTAGGTAAGAGGATCCATTAAAAATGACTCTGGCTCCACTTCCATATCAAGCTGAAAACTGAACAGTTTTGCCAGACCTGGGTTCAAATATTATTTGATACACTTCATTTGTAGAGCACTTTTAATTTACACACAGAAATCACAAAGCTCTGAAAAACGTTCTGTGCTTGATTGAACTTGCAATGGAACCAATAGAAAAGTCCCAATTATGC